GTCAAAGGGACGGCCGTGTCTGTGTCTGTGTCTGTGTGTGTGTGTGTCCAATCCATTGAGGGAACAGGGACTGGGGGCTGACTTTAGTGCCAAGCTTTTCCCTTTGGGGCTCCTCTAGGTTTTCCTCACTCACCAAGAGAATGATTCATACTTTCACCAGGCAAGAAAAGAGACATCTAGAGCAACCATCAGATATGGTGCTGGCCCTGGAATCAGCTCCAGCGTGTCTCTACCACCACCCTTGATCTGTGTCAAAACCCTGATACCAGAAAAAGGCCACAGTCACCCTTGGAAGGTCCTCTGTCACTACACAAGGGGCTTGGGGGAGTTGGACCTCCCTTCTCACACAAAGCAATAAATGGGGTGGGAGGGGAGGGGTGCACTTCACAAATGGAGCAACACAGAATGAGAGGGGGAGCACCCCATGCTGCCCACCCAGATCATTACAGGTGAGAGAAGTTTGGGGGGGGGCACAAGGCAACCAGCTGAGCCAGCCCCCTGACCCGAACAAGAACTCAGGGACGTGGCAACTGCCAGCCATAAATGAAACTGCTGGAGGCCACAGAATGACCATCTAGCTGTTTACTATGTCTAATACGAAATAAGCTCAAACTAAAACTTTAATATGTCGAGTTAAGTTCCCCATACGGTGTGTTACCTATCAGAGTTTTCTTTTTTTATTGAAAATGAAGGAAAGCCGGGTCCCAGAGAGACAAATTTCTTGTCTCTCACTCTTCTGGACTAGAACGCTGGTATTTCTTCTGATTTGCACTTTAAAACGTAACTGGGAATTAATTAAATATACTGACAAGGCCATTGCATGGGTGGATGGCGCAACTTCTCTGCCGCTGGGTGGCAAAGAGCCAACACCTTAACTGGTAACTAAAGCTATACCACCTTCCATGGCCTCGGTTTTGTTTTTTTAATTCTAGAAATGGTTCTCTCCTTTTCTGCCAGAATCTAAAAGCATTAAAGACTCAGTTGGACTTTATGTTACTTCTTCCTGCCAGGGCAAGGGTGCTCTCACCCAGAGGGTCCTGCTTGGCACCCCTCAAGCCCTGGCTGGCATCAATTACTCCGGTTGCACCCAGGATCCTCACCCAGCAAGCCCAACTCAGCCGGTGTGTCTGTGCATGTGTGTGTGTGTGTGTGGGGGTGGGGGTGTGCATGTGTGTGTGTGTGGGGGGGGGTCCTTCGGGGCTGCACGTGGCCTTCCTCCTCCTCGGCTCCCTATCTTGGTGGGGTTGAAGAAGGGATGCCAAGGGAGGGGGACAGAATCCAGTCAAAAGGGGCCTCCTCCCGCTGAGCTTTGGCCTTGCTGCTCCCCGTAAGGGGAAGGGGTGGTGTGGGGGGGGCAG